GGTCTGTTTGGTGTTCTGGAGGCCTCTTGCATCTGTATGGGAATAGATTTCTCTAGATTTGGGAAATTTTCTGTTATTATTTTGTTGAATATATTACACATTCCCTTTGCTTGCACCTCTTCTCCTTCTTCAATGCCCATGATTCTCAAGTTTGGTCTTTTGATGGAGTCAGTGAGTTCTTGCATTTTCTTTTCACAGGTCTTGAGTTGTTTAACTAATAGTTCTTTGGTTTTTCCTTTAATTACCATTTCATCTTCGAGTTCTGAGATTCTGTCTTTTGTTTGTTCTATTCTGCTGGATTGGCCTTCCATTTTGTTTTGCAATTCTGTTTCATTCTTTTTTCTGAGGTTTTCCATATCCTGAGTCATTTCCTCTTTAATGTTGTCTATTTTTGTCCTGAGTTCATTTATCTCTTTATTAATGTGTTCTTTTTTCACTTTGGTGTTTATACAGTGCTTCTATGGTTTCTTTTATTTCTCCTTTTGCTTTTTCAAATTCTCTATTTTTGTTGTCTTGGAATTTCTTGAGTGTCTCCTGTACATTTTGGTTGACCATATCCAGTATCATCTCTATAAAATTCTCATTGAGTACCTGTAGTATTTCTTCTTTAGATTATTCTTGTGGGCTTCACTGGGCTCTTTGGCATAGTTTATCTTCATTTTGTTGGAGTCTGGATCTGAGTATCTGTTTTCTTCATTCCCCGCTGGTTCCTGTACTAATTTTTTGCTGTGGGGAAACTGGTTTCCCTGTTTTTTCTGTCTTCCCGTCATCGCCCTTGGTGTTGTTATTGTCCCTGTACTGTGTGCAATTAAGTATTTTGTAGCTTGTAATAATAACACTGGTGATATTTAGAATGGAAGGGTGAGAGGAGATGGACAGGAAAGAAGTTAAAGAAAAAGGGAAAAACAAATAAACAAGTAGCAAAAAACAAAACAAAGAAACAAACAAAAAAGTTTCAAAGATATAAACAGGGAGAGACAGTATACTAATCAACAGTAAGCTGAACAGGCATTAGACAGAGAGAGGATTGAAAAAAAATAATAAAATAAGTGAAAATAAAATAATTTTTTAAAAATCTCCAAGTTCAAATGCAATAAAGTTTCAGTCTTAATAATTTTGTTCTTATTCCCTCAGCCTCCAACCCTGGAGATGGTGTCTGAGAAGTAGTTCTGTCAAACAAAACAAAACAGCACAAAACAAAAAAAAAGCCCCACAAAGTGTCCCAAGTTCAAGTGCAATCCAGTTTCAGTAAGTTTTTCAGCATGCAGGTGTAGTTCAGTTGTTGTCTCATCAAAGGTAGGGAGAGAAAAAAAAAGAGTCTGGAGACAGTTCTGAGAATGGCTATCTGCGGCTGTGGCTTGCCTGCCTGCTGCTGTCAGCCTGCTGTTGCTGGAGGCTTTATTTATGCAGATCTCAGGGGTTAGCTTAGCACTCACCTGGCCCCACAGGCTTTGTTTACTCAGAGTTCTCCTGTGCGGGAGCTGCTGCTACAAGCTTTCCCCTTTCCAAGCACACTGGGGGAGGTGACACCGCACCTGCTTTCTCAGGCCTGCCTGTTTATTTACAGTTCACATGAGAAGTGGGTCTTCCCCCCTCTACTGTGTTTTCCTCCCACTGCTGCTTTTACAAGCTTTCTCACTCCTGATTGCTGGGCTGTGCTGCTGCTTCTGCCTTGTCCAGCCGGCTTGTTGTGAGGGAGTTCCCCTCCCCCCTCTTCAGCGCTCAAGGCTCCCTGCCCTCTTTGCTACGTGTCTTTTTTATTGTTATTGCTTATTATTCAGTTTTTTTCTTTTTTCCCTGGTGGGGGTTGGTCTGTCCAGGGGGCTATGCTGATCTGGCCCAGGGTTGTCTGTGGGAGTACTGTGTGCTGCTTAGCTCACCTTGTAGTCTGCATCTTCCCAAGCCATGTGGGCGCTGCCGTTGGGCGGCTGCACGGGAGTCTTCCTCTTTTTAAATCTTAAAACTTTGTTCCCAGATTCAACTCTAGGATCTATGTATTTGGGTACTTTCCTGTAATTAGAGGTCCTCCAAATACTTTAGAGTTCTTGGGCCTATAGGATGTGACATTCTTGACCACATGTAATGCTGGAAATTATATTAGCCATGGACCAGGCTAGTTTTCCTTGGAGAATTTTGTAAGCATTGGCTGCAAAAGTCAACATTAGTCCTTTTACAATGGCCTATATGTCATATATGATTAAATCAGCATCATTCTCAAATATGAAATTCTAGGCAAGCCCTTGGTTGCATGGGTGATTTTTCCAATTATATGGTTGTAAAAGGGGAATAGATTTTTAACAAAACTATGCAAATTACTGTATTGCCATAAAAGAAAAGAGACTCAAAAAGAGTTTCTGGATTTGGGAGAAGGGGGAACATACTTAAAGTACTAGTTCATTCTTATTTTCTGGGAATTTAAAGAATATCTAATTTATATAGGCACTTATTTACCTCTGCAAACCCATTAGAACAGAACTCCTTTAAGAGACTTTGTGACTTGATTTATTGTCATTTCAATTCTACAATTTTAGCCACACATGAAAAGCAAACACAGAGAAAAAAATTTACCAGTACAAATACCATAGTTGTTTTCCTTCTTTTGGGGAATGAAATTCCTAATTGATGTGAACTCAAAATAGATAAAAACTAACACAAACTGTGTTCTGGATCTTCTTTCGCCCAGCAGGAACTAGGACTCTGTAAGACATTAATCTATCTACAGAGATCACCAAATTCCCAATTATTGTTGCTACCAACTGGAAATAACTTGTCATCTATAAATGAGCCAAAAAGAAAAGCCAATTATTAGAGAGTAGGATTAAAATCAGAAAAACAAAGATTTCACAAAGTTTTGTTGCCACTTCCAAACCACCTGTGGGAGCCAAGAAAAAGTGCCTGGGGTTGGCTCCCTGTGAGAGTCACTGTTCCTGATGACTTCAGGTGACTCTTGGTGAGTCCTCAAAAGCTGCTAAAAGGTGATAAATATAAAGTGAGCACATGTCAAAGACTGTCTTTAGCTCATTAGTTAAATGAGGGAGCCAACAAGATAACATAAGCCATTCAAGGGAGACCCCAAACATGAACACATTTACAAATCAAGAATATTGAGGCCAATTTAATATGTCTGTTTCTGGGCCCCAATTCCAGTGGTTCTGAAACCTTGGGGCCATTAAGTATCTCCTGGAGACATCAAAATGCAGGTTCCCAGGCCCTGGACCCTGAACAGGTCTGGGATGAGAGACCAAGATTCTCCACCTTCAATAAGAAAAATCATCCCCCAAATGATTCTGCTGTAGGTCCACTGGAGATTTCCCTTTGGAATAATTGTTTTACAAATGAAGTCACCTTCAGCTCTCCAGACTTCAGTGATCAGTCTTCTGAATTCCCATACCACTAAGCTATCACCTTTAATAGAAGTGTAATATTGTGATGGAGGTTAAAGCAAACGGGAATCCTATCAGTCCCTCTTAGAAGGAGGGTATGCCAGCTTCTTCAGCTTAGTGCAGTGTGGTGTACAGTTTGTGTACTAGGAATTTGGTTGGGTTTTTGTTTGTTTGTTTGTTTGGTACCGAGATTTGGACTAATGGCCTCACACTTGCTAGGCAGGCGCTCTACCACTTGAGCCACTGTGCCACCCAAAATAGAGTCTCACTAACCATTTGCCTGTGCTGGCTTTGAACCTCGACCCTCCTTATCTCTGCCTCCCGATTAGCTAGGATTATAGGCATGAGCCACAAGCGCCTGGCTAGGAATTTGTTGTGATTCACAGTTCTTCGCTTTTCTTCCTATTGTGTAAGAGAGTCACAAGTTTATTGCAAATAGTCTCCAAGTTTCTGAGTTTCTGGCTTCAATAAAATAGATCTACCTTAATGAAAGTTCTGTACCCAAGGATAAGCTTTGTTCAGTTATTCATTTATGTATTGATTTATTCATTTGTTTACTTACTTAACAATGTCTCTTGTCCTTAAAAGGGCTTGGCTCTAGCCTTGCTAAGACAGTGTGAGTTTTAGGAATTACAAATTAGTCGCTTTAGTACTAACTGTGTTGCTCTGTTACACTCAAATAACCTGCTTGGGCATTCATATCTTTGGGTGATATGAGAAATCTCTAAAGATAACTCCTTTTATACAATATGACTGATTATAATAGGGGCATTGTTTCAAGCAAACAGATTCTTTTCTTTCAGAAGAAAGAATTCCCTTACTTATTAAGAATGTGTGCCTGATTTCTGTGAATTTTAAAGAGTAACAATATCACCAATGATCAAAAGTATCATAAGTATAAAGAAATTTTAGTTTGCCTTGAAATTATATTCCTTAAAAATGAAATTACCTTATTTCATATTACTGCCATTTTAATGACATTTTTCCTTGGGTTAGAATTTTGAGCTTAAATGAATGCATATTGATGTTATTTTTTTTCATGCAAAGGATTTTTTTTCATGCAAAGGATCAAGGTAGTATCCTTGGTAATACCATAAGGAATTGAGTAAGTTACACTTGTGAAATCTACAAGTGCTCAGACTGTAGAATTGTGTGGAGTTAAACTCATATTCTGTTTACCTTCCTTTTTAGGGATTTTAAGTATGTTACAACGAGGACTGATTCCTCAACAGCAAGGATTACCTTTCAGAATCCACATTAAACCCAAATTTTAAGAATGTGTGCCTGATTTCTGTGAATTTTAAGAGTAACAATATCACCAATGATCAAAAGTATCATAAGTATAAAGAAATTTTAGTTTGCCTTGAAATTATATTCCTTAAAAATGAAATTACCTTATTTCATATTACTGCCATTTTAATGACATTTTTCCTTGGGTTAGAATTTTGAGCTTAAATGAATGCATATTGATGTTATTTTTTTTCATGCAAAGGATCAAGGTAGTATCCTTGGTAATACCATAAGGAATTGAGTAAGTTACACTTGTGAAATCTACAAGTGCTCAGACTGTAGAATTGTGTGGAGTTAAACTCATATTCTGTTTACCTTCCTTTTTAGGGATTTTAAGTATGTTACAACGAGGACTGATTCCTCCAACAGCAAGGATTACCTTTCAGAATCCACCCATTAAACCCAAAGCAGTGCCTCTGCATCGTTTTGATGAAGCCCATAAGATTACACCTGCAGGTAAGACATTCTTGCCTATGTATGCTTAGCTGGTATTATACAGAAATTGTTCCCTCCCCAAAAATGTAGCCAATTTTTATCCTCAATAGTAGGATAAGATGAAGATTCTAAACATTGTGAGTTTCACTCCAGTGAATAAAGTAACTTTGTCATCTTTGTAAAGTAGAACATTGGTATTTTCAAGGAGCTTACAGTTTGGTTGAGGTAACAGGACAGATACAATAAAGATATGTAAAATTCAAAGTAGCATAGAATAAAATTGGATGCTGAAGGAGTTTAGAGGAACAATTGCTGAGAGGGGAGCTAATGGAAGGCAGCTTCAGAGGAGGCTGGATGGAATGGGTGCTTTAGGACAGCACCTACACCTTCCCTACCAGCTCTGGGGCCTCAGGAAAACCGTTTACTTCCTCTGGGTTTCTGCTTCCCCAGTTATAAAATGAGGAGTTTGGGGCTAAATTAATTCATTTGTTCAACCAATATTTGTTGAATGCTTGCTGGTCCAACTTAGCATTTAGGTGCTAGAGATCCATCAGAGGGTAAGCCAAATAATGTTTTTGCTCTAATGGTACCTCTGTCCTAGTGGGAGCCACAGGCCATAAGCAGGGAAGGAAATGAGAATTTAAGCTAATGGTAGGTGCTAGAAATAAAACAATATGGGTCAGAGAGTGAGAGGGGGCTATTTGCTTATGAGGGAAGGGTCAGAAAATATCTTTCAGAAGAGGTATGAAGCTTAAACTGAGGTCTAAATGATAAGAAAGGCCAGTCATGTAAACATGTAAGGAAAAGCATTCAAAATATAGACCAGATGGGGACAAAGGCCCTAAGGACTAAGGAGCAAATGAATAAGAAACCAGGCCATGAGCAAGGTAGAGGAAGAGAGAGATCATATGATATCCCCTAATGCAGAGTCTACACATTGTCCTCAATATTCATTGTCCCCCACCTCTGCAGGAGTGGGGTTGTGGGTGAAACATATCAGCTTGACTCACATTTCCCAGGCTTCCTTGCATCTAGGTGTACCATGTGACCAGAGTTTGAGAATGTTGGCAGAAATGCAAAGGAAGGTTCTGGGCTGTACCCTTAAGAGAAAAGGAACAAGCCCCTTCCTTTTCTCTCCTTCTCTCTGGCTAGCTGGAATGCAGAGGTGACAATGAGAGATGGGCAAACACTTTGGAGACAGAGATGGAACTCCATGTTGGGATTGGCAGAGCTACTTGACCAACCCAAGACTCTTCCTTTAGACTATGTGTGTAAGAGAGAAAGAAACTTTAATTTGTTTAAATCACTCAGTGTGAGGCAGGATAGAGGAGGAACAGGGGAAATGAAATGCAAGTATTTACATATAAACACTGCATGAATGTGTAACCTGACTACAAGTACAAGAGCATTTTCTTTAAGCTTCGCACTCCTTCATTGAGCAATAATAAGCAGTACAAAAGATGACCTCTCCTCCCCACCTCATCCTTGCTTCAGGTCCAGCACACACATCTTCAAGAAAACCACTGGGTACACTCCCCTCCCTTGATCTGAAGGGTGGTCATTAAAAGTTACAAGAAGCAGAAGTCTGTGTTGCAAGGACCAGAAATTAACCACCTTCTCAGACAATGTCTCTAGGCTGCACCGATAATGTCAGGGCACTCTAGCAGCAGAAATAAGTAGGATGTACCAGGTGCCTAGAACAAGGGTGATCACAGATCCTAGGAATATTTCACAGGATTCCTGTCTCACTTTGTAGCATTTATACCCTGTAAAAGCAGCTCCTGTGATCTTCCCCATGTGCCATGCCTTGCAACAAGGCACACATGTGCTTCCTGCTTTACTTGCTGAATCGATCTCTCTCAATCTCTTACCATGCATCCCCAGTTGTTTTGTTTTGTTTTTCTGTTAAGGAAAATCCAAGGACCAAGTTGAAGACCTCCTCCTTCTTTTTGGGGAACCTTGTCAAGACCCTCACCAACCCCCAGTAACAAGTGTACCTTAAGATCTTTACTTTTAAAACATCTCAGACTATACCAGGACCTATGGAATCCCTCCAAACATGGCAAGGAGTAGGAGTTAATCCTAATTACGAGATACTGCTGAAAGGTTTTTACAGGACAATGAGATGACCTGATTTTTGTTTTAATAAGACCATTCTGACTATTTTGCCAATAATGAATCACAGTGGTGCATGAGTGAAAGAAGATGAGTTAAAAGCCTCATCAGCTTAGAGGTGGAGCCATGAGGATGTGCTGATAGATGGGAGTAATGGAAAGAAAGGCATCAGGATATATGTGTATGGATGTTTTAGTAAATATATATGAATAGGACCCAATTTTGAATCTGTTCTAGTGCTGTAGAGAATTTCAGTGTTTTATACTATAGGGCTATTTAAACCAATACTCTACTGTGAATATTCTTGTATATGTCTTTTTCTTTTTTACAGTATTGTGGATCAAATTCTGGCCTTGTGCATACTAGGCCAAGCCCTCTACTACTAGGCTACATCCCCAGCCCTTGTACATGTCTTGTAATACACATATGTATGCAATAGATCACAGAGTCACAGGGAATGTATAAGCTCAGATTTATAGATTTTCATAGATTTTTGCCAAACAATTTTTCAAAGTAGTGTTACTGGCTTATTTTCCTATTAGTAGTATATGACCATTCCAGAATATTCATCATTGTCAACACCTGATACTTCACTTTTTTACATTTTAGCCATCCTGAAGCATCTGTTGTGGTATTTCTCTGTGGATTTAATTTTACTTCCCTGATAACCCATAATACTGAAAAAAATTTATGAGTGTACTCATCATTTGAATATCTTCTTTTATGATGTGATTTCAAACATTAGCCTTTTTATTTTAAATTACATTGCCTTTTTTCTTAGTGATGTATAGGAATTACCTATATATTCTGAATATAAAACTTTTATCAGTAACATGTATAGCAAATAACTTTTCCTACTCTGTGACTTGACATTTTGCCCTCTTGTTGTCTTCTTTAAGGTAAACTTTTAATATTGGGATAATTATTCACATGAGGTTTACAAAAAATAATACAGAGAGCTCCTTTACACTCCTTACAGTTTCGCCTAACAGGAACATATTGCAACATTATAGTACAATGTCACAACTAGGATACTGACCCAGTCAAGATACAAATACCTCTGTCATCACAAGTGCCTTCAATGTTGTCCTCTTAGAGCTAACCCACTTCTTCCACTCCAGACCTCCTTCATCCCTGGACTCAATAATCTACTTCTCCAGTTCTGTAATTTTGTCATTTCAAGAAATGTCCATAAATGAATCAACATAGTGTATAACCTTTTGAGATTTTTTTTTTTCAGGCAGCATAATTATCAGGAATTATCAATGGTTTCTGGTGGATGTGAGGGCGATCTGGCTGACATCTGTTGATTGATCACCAGAGTTGATTTGGCTGATCTGGCTGGCTAGTTGGGTGTCCCCTTCCTCCCTCACCATTCCTTGTGTGTCCCTCCTGAAGCTGTGTGCTCTGTCGAAGAGGACGACCATCCCCAATAGAGGAGGACCATTCTTCAGTCAAGGGTGTATGAGCAGCTGCACTTCCCTGCTAGACCCTCCAAACAAGCTCTCAGTGGTTTCTGGTTTACTGCTCAGTAGAATTCCACTTTAAAATACAACAGTTGTTAAACCATTCACCTGTTGAAGGGCATTTGGGTTGCTTCCAGTTTAGGGGTACTGATAATAAAGCTGCTCTAAGCATTCCCGCACAGGTTTTTGTATTAAACATACATTTCCATTCCTTTAAGCTAAATGCCCGGGAGTGTAATTGCTGGGTCGTATGGTACTTAGGTGTTTCTTTCTTTCTCTCTCTTTTTTTTTTTTATTATTGTTGTGCTGGGTGCAGGTACATTGTAGCATTTACAAAGGTTCTTAGGGTGTATCAAATATATCATAGTTGAATTCCTCCCCTCCATTGCTCACCCCATCCCTGCTCTCGATTCCTAGAACAGTTTCAACGGGTATCGTTTTTGCATTTACATACATGTGTACACGTTCATCCTTCTACCCCTTTCCCTGCTACATCCCCACTCCCAGACTGCCACCCCTGTCCATGGGCAGAACCTGTTCTACCCTCCTGTTCTCCAATTTTGTAGAAGAAAAAACATAAAAGATAAAAACAAGAAACAAGATGTTTTTGCTAGTTTTAGATAAATATGCTATACAGGGCGTTTCCTTGTGTCGTTTCCATGTATGTATGGATTGCAAACCCAGTTGATTCACCTCTTCCAGTCCTCTTCACTCCTCCCTAGTCTGCTTCCCGTGGTGGCCCAGCCAGCCAGTTTAAAATTTCTGTATTCATTCCTGCACAGTGAGCACATCAACCACATTCAAGTTTTTAGTTTCCTTCCCTGTCCTATCCCTCCCTTGCACAGTCTCCCCTTAGTGTGACCCCTGTCCCATAACATTGCTGCATTTGTTTTAGGTCTAAAGTCTGCATATGAGGGAGAACATGCAGCTTTTGGCCTTCTGAGCCTGGCTAACTTCACATAATATGATGTTCTCCAATTCCATCCATTTACCTGTGAATGACAAAATTTCATTCTTCTTTGTGGCTGAATAAAATTCCATTGTGTATAAATACCACATTTTCTTAATTCATTCATCAGTAGTAGAGCATCCTGGCTGTTTCTGTAGAGTGGCTATTGTGAATAGTGCTGTGAAAACATGGGTGTGCAGGTGCCTTTGTTGTAACTTGATTCACATTCCTTCGGGTACATTCCTAAGAGTATTGATGGACCATATGGCAGATCTATTTCTGGTTTTTTAAGAAGCCTCCATATTGTTTTCCATAGTGGTTGTACTAGCTTCTATTCCCACCAGCAGTGTATGAGAGTTCCTTTTGCCCTTCATCCTCCTCAACATTTGTTGATGGTGGTTTTCTTGATGGTAGCTATTCTAACAGGAGTGAGGTGGAATCTTAGTGTGGTTTTGATTTGCATTTCCTTTATGGCCAGGGATGGTGAGCAT